ATATATAGTTATGCTGAAAAACCGAATTCGTCTTATATTCGTCCGGATGCAAACAGAAAACGTAGATGCATGCATCTTTATCCTACATATTGGCCTCAAATGAATCACCTGGGGTGGATTCACCACGGAGGTTGCGGGGCATCATTTTCCTCACGGTGTCCGGCGAGAGACCCTTCCCAAACAAATAGATCAGCTTCATTTCCGCCGCGGCAGTTGTCATATACAGATAAATGAGATCTGGTGATATTTTATGCAGCCGACCAATTTCGGCGGATGAGAGGGTTCCATGGGGCTCCAACGTCGTCACACACAGGACAATATCATTTGCTTTAGCCACCTTTGCCAACTCCCGTAGCGCCAATGAGACATCGCTGTCCGTGCTCCCAACACCGCTGATCTCAAGCAACACTGCATCTATCAGTTTCCTTGGCTGCGGGTTTGTGATGGTGGTATCAGACTTTCGTCCCTGATCACAGCTCCCAACGGCAGCCGCAGCATCTTTTTGCTTTGCGTCATCGTGACGCGTCCCACACCCATCTTGCTCCTCAGCGTTTTTGGTGGGGATTTCTTCTTGCGTGGCAGGCGGTGTCGGGGCATGGGGCTCGCCCCCCAGCAGCTGCTGAAGCAGCTGCTTTATATCACAGTCGGCGTACATCGCAAACACAACCACGTTCCCTCGCATATCAGACAGCACCCGCAGTGGCCCACATGGCTGCGGCAGCAGCAGGTGCTTGCGAAGGTGGAAGCCTGTCGACTCCACCACCCCAAGCGGAGGGCAATTTGGGGTGCAGAAGGCACCAAATGTGTGATGCAGCTTGGTGCAACAGTTCCCACGCAGCAGGCAATCATTAAAGAAAATGCACACCTCGCGGATGGTGGGATTTGACGCCAACATGAGGCCGATCACCATGTTTCGCCGGGCATCTGTGTACGGCTCAAAAAATGGCACCATGGAGCCCGTCATGATGACGGGTTTGGCGAGATTCATCAGGAGGAAGCTCAGTGCACTGGCGGTGTAGTGCATCGTGTCTGTCCCGTGGAGCACCAGAAAACCGTCGTACTCGTCGTGGTGGCGAGCCACGTCCTTGGCAATGCGCAGGTAATCGTGTGCCCTCATGTCACTGCTGTCGAGCAGCTCATCGTACTCAATAATGTCAAACGGGGCAATCTCCGGCCGCCGCTGCAGCTCCCCCATCCCTCGCACCACCTGCGTCAGGTACCCCTTGCACGGCTCCAGCACCCCCGCCGGCGACCGCGCCATCCCGATTGTCCCACCCACATAGAGCAGAAGCACACGCCGACTCCTGCGCGAGAAAAGGTCGTCCGTGCGACGTCCCAGAACATCGGTGTTGTAGGAAGTATAGAGAATGGGGCCGCTGGGCACCGACGGCACTTGCTCTGCCGACATGGACGGCCAATTTTCAGACCCTGTTTGATGCATTTCTACGCACACTGCTCCCTTTTATAACTGCTTCCTCCCGACGCACGCCATACGAACAAAACACGGACATCGTTACGAGTAACGACAATTATTTGGAGGGAGGCGAGCAGAGAGGCCAATATAAAACAAACAAAAAAAAGGCAAGAGTCAAAAGATGCTCACCACACACACGCAGAGATGGTAAAGATCATGCGACAACAAACAAACAAGAAATAAAGAAAAAAAAAAACAACACCACCCGCGTCACTTCATCGCCCAAAGTGACGACGGGGGCCACCGACATGCATGTCTGCACATACTCAGTTTTTGTTTTTGTTTGTGCAATTAATAAATAACGAAAAAAAAGCAATAAATCATGCTGTGTGTGCACTCCGTCGAGAAACGGCGTTCAGGCTTAGTCAAACAGACCGAAACCCATATCGTCATCCTCTTCCTCCTCTTCTTCCTTCTTGGCCTCGGCGGCCGCAGCGGGGGCTGCAGCACCAGCAGCAGGAGCAGCGCCCGCGGCCGCAGGGGCACCCCCGGCGAAGCTTACGTTGGCGAGCAACTCGTTGACGTTGACGGACTGGAGCAGGTTGGCGAAGGCGGTGGCCATTCCCTTGCTGACCTCGACGCCGGCAGTCTTTGTCACCTTCAGCAGGTTCTCGACGTTGGTCTTACCGCTGTCGGCAAGCAGAAGCGCGGCGTAGGTGCAAGCGAGCTGCTGTGTGGAGGACATTTCTCTGGTGAGAGTACTTGGTGGCGGAATAAGTGACGTTCACACTACCGATGCGACAACAAGGCGGGAAGGCGGAAAGAGAAAAAGTGTAGAAACACACAGACAGTGGCGGCCCCCTGGTGTCAAAAAAAGGCACAGGGCAAAAAAAAAGAAAAGAGAGAGAGAGAGAGAGAGAGAGAACACAAAGCAAGCCCATGCATGACGGATACAGCCGCGTCGATGCATCCAGTCAGACATGCATGCTACGCATCATAAACACCCATCAATGCGGATGGCTACAGCACAAGAGGTGAGGCGCCATGTAATGTCACACGCGAGGTGATGCCCGCGCGTCGGCTTGCACGCCTTCGTCGTTGCCTGCTACGCTCCATGCGGGTGGCGGCGCCTCCAGCACCTCCGGTGCCTCACCAGCGGCGTAGCGAAGAGTGTAGCGCCAGGCATGCAAGCAAATGGCGTGCGACAGCAGATATCCCGCATCTTCCGCCGCGTCATGCGGTCCGTCTTGCAACGGAGTAGGCAGACTACCAGCAGCGAGACGGATGTACTTTGTGTCCCCGCAGACAGGGTGGCCCAAGGAGGCCAAATGGACACGCACTTGGTGCGTACGACCCGTAAGAAGAAGACACTCCACTACGGATTCGTCACGGGCGGCGTCGTACACGACAAGGCGAACGAGCGTAATCGCCGGTTTCAAGCTTTCCTTTAGTTGCTGCGTCTGCAGCTCCGCGGTGGTTCTCTCCGGGTGCCCGCAGGCAACATTGCCCCCCCCATCGTTTCCTTCCCTTGAGCACCCGCCAACAGTCAACTGCCGCATGCGTTCATGTTTGGCTTCCAAGGCGGCAGCGTCAAAGTGTGAGCCGCGCTTTCGCCCTGCTGCCTGTCCCTTCACCGCCGATGCGCCATGCGGTTGCTGCGCTGTGCCCTTCCCCCGCTCCTCCAGCCACCACTGCGTGACCGCGGCGTCGGGGCACCAGTAGAGACTCTCATGGTACGATAGGCACCCGATTGGGCGATCCACACGCAACCAACACGGGCCCTTGTCGTTGTCGTCCCCTGGACCTGCACGGAGCGCGCACGAGACACGGGCGACGGTGGAAGGGAAGCCGTAAGCGTCACTGCAGTGATGATGTGTTGCGGCAAGCTCGGCGACAGCAAAGCGGCCATGCACGCGCGCAATGTACTGCTTTGTGCACCCAACCCCCGGCATCGGTGCCTCCTTGTTGTCGGTGGAGTCCTTTTGCGCCAGTAGCTCGGCTGTCGCGCGTGCGCTAGCGGAGTCCAGGCCGAAGAGCAACACACCGCTGGTGGCGGCGTCAAGGCGGTGGACGACGAAGACCTTCAGCCCGTGCGAGGACTGCCGCGTCAGCAGCGACCGCAACTCCTCCCACGCATCACGAGTCACGTAACCGTCCCCCACCCACACACGGATAAGCTCGAACCCATATCGTTTGTGACAAATTGCCATGCATTGTACACCGTCCGCTTGTTGCAGCCGCCTCTGTACTTTGTCCTCTTCGCCTTCTAGTGGCACTGCGTGGTAGCGGTGGGCATCCACGCCACCAAAGACGTCCTCCAAGATGGCCGTCGCAGAGTTCTTGCGGCAGCGACCGGATGGATGCACCGGCAATCCGTGGGGCTTGCGAACAACAAGCAAACGACGGGGATGGGAACCGCATGGGACATGATCGTAGCGAAGAACCTGCAGTGGGTCGCCATATGGCATGGACGCCTCCCTGCGAAGCACACGATGCAAAATAACATCCTTCTGCCGCAGCAAGAGGCGTGGTGACACGGCGGAAAGCAGGGTATTCATAGCCTCTGCATCTGAGCTCGTCGCCAGGATGTCTGCCGGCGGATCTCCTGTCGCATCAACGTTGGCGATGGGGTGGAGGGATGGGCAGAGACGGCGAAGTTCCTCGGCGTAGGCGTCACCGGCGGCACGGCATTCCGCCTCCCGCCCACGCAACCAAAGAAGACTGGTGCGGAGCTCCTCAACATACGCAGGGATGGTGATGCGGGGATCAAGACTGGCCCGCGGCATCGCATTGGCCTCCGAGACTGGCGGGATGTACGCAAATTCCTTGGCGAACACCGTCAAGAGCGGAAGCCCGAGCCAACGGCCCTTCACGGGGGCACTGAAGGTAAAGGTGTACGGCACCACCGCCAAGACGCGCACGCACGCCGCACAACCATCACCGCCTACAGTGTTATCACTATTATTATTATTATTATTATTGTCGTTGTTATGCGCGTCGCGAGGACACGCGGCCTCTACGACAAGGGGGTGGCGGTCGCCAGGGGAATGTGCGCCGTCGTCCAGCGGCCGCATGCCTGTCCACGCCCTCCTTCGCCCCCTTTTACGCCTCCGTGCAAAAAGGTGCGTGCGCCTATATGTGTGAGAGGCACCGCCCTTTTTGCGTCGCCGCCGCCGCACCGCGCCCACAACAACAACAATAGCAACAAAGAGGAAGTGCGAGGCACTTAACGGCTTTCACCAGACAACACTGCAAAACAAAGACGAAACACACACACACACACACACACACACACACACAGAGAGAGAGAGAGAGAGAGAGAGAGAGAGAGACGAACGAAAACGAAAAAAAACGAAAAAAAAAAACAAAAAACAAAAAAACGAAAAAACGAAAAACGGAACGGAACGAACGAACGAAC